GTGTAGGGCTTGCGAGGGAAGCTGGGGCTTCCTGGGATGGGGGTCCGCAGGCTTGTGTGGAGGCCCCGACGCTGCCACCGCCCAGCCCGCGGCTCTGGCCTGGCGCCTGATGAAGCAGGCGTCCAGAGTCCCGTTTACAAATAATGAAGGTGCCACGGTGGCGGTATTCACCCCCGGGCCTGTGGCCTGGTGCTGCTCTAAGGTTTTCCTGCACAGGAACTCGGTTAAGCCTCACAGCAACTGTAGGGTGCTGGCTCTACGGGCAGGGGAGAAGCCGAGTCTCTCCGAGGTGCAGTGGCTCTGCGAGGCCCCTCACCGGGCCCCGAGCCAGTCCGGCCCCAGCACCTGCACTGCCCAGGGCCGCAGTCCCCGGGGTCACGCAGGAGCTCTCGGCTGTAGCAGAGGGTCAGCTGCTGACCGGTGGCCTCCTCCGGCCGGTTTTTTCCTGGTGCAGCCAGCTGCCCCAGCTCTAGGGAGGGGCCAGCTGGCCTGTTGTGTTGCCGGAGTTTGCCAGAAGGATTATTTTCCACTGCATGTCAAAACAAGCCAAGCCGGAAAGACCAACAAACAGCACGTAGCTTGCAGCCAAAGGAGAAGCCGCCCTGCCTCCTCTGCATGGCTGCGGAGGCCCTAGGGCCCAGGTTCTGGCCTGGCCCACCTGCGCTCCGTCTCTGCAGCTGCCCACATCCTCTGCTCCTCGGCCTGTGACTTTGAGCAGTGACTTGGAGGAGGCTGGGCTCTGTCTAGCTGCACCACCAGCTCCGGACCCCAGGCCCCGGCCACACCAGGATCCCCTCTGCAGGGTGAGTCTGAGCAATGGCTTGCAAAAGATAAAAAAAAAAAAAAAATTTATTGCAGTGGGACATTTTCTTCAAGCAATATTACTGATAGGTGCAGAATATGAGAGAATGAAACGCAAATGTGTGAATTTTCAAGAATAAAAAGAAAGCAAGAAATAAAAGGGAAAACTGGAGGGTGGCCAGGCCTCTGCAGCTCGCCCCACAGCCGCCAGTCTGTGGTCCGCTTGCTTCCGCCTGGGACTCCTGCTCCAGGGCTGGCCTTGCCCCTTCCCTGCTTATTGAAGGCTGTAAATACCTCAGAGGCTCCGAGCAGCTGTCACCAGCATGCTCTTTGCCTCTGATGATTTCTGCCCCTTCCAGGTTCCTGTTGTGTTAGTCACTGTTTCAATCATTTGGTTCCCGTGCTCTGGCTAGTGATGAGCTTCAGGAATTTTACAGGATGTTCAAGCACATGTGGTTCATGATGTACACAGCACGTGTTTGCACATATGTTTGTATGCACACATTCACACGCACGTGCATAAACCTGCACACACGCAGCCTTGACAGAAGGACTGTGGGTTCCTGTCCCCTAGTGCCTGGTATGTAACAGGTCTCTAGTAAAGGGCTTTTGGTTTGGTTTGGTTTGGTGCCAGGGATTGAACCTAAGGCCTTTGCACTGAGCTACATCCCTAGCCCTTTATTTACTTTTTACTTTGAGACAGGGTCTCATTAAATCACAAAGATATGCTCAAACTTGTAATCCTCCTGCCTCGGCCTCCCAGATTTCTGGGATTACATGTATGTACCACCATGCCTGGCTTCCCAAGAAAGTCTTTAACTATGGGATCATCTTCCTTCTTTTCCTGAGTGTCTTGCCCGTGTCGGGTACTCAGAAAATTGCAGTGTGAACGGCTGTACAGTATGGTGTCTCCAGTTTCTGGGAAGTCCTGAATTTGAATCCTGCCCTGCCATGTATATTAGCTTTGTGTCCTTGGGAAATATATCTAACTTTCCTTATCTGTTGTGTGGAGGTGATAGTGCATGCACGCCCAGCTGTTGGCATTATTCTACGGGCTGGAAACTCAGTACTTTCAAAACAGAAGGCCCTGTCCTCCTGGAGTTTCTATTCCAGCTGGTTAGGGGGAGGAGCCTACGCCTGCGGGAGAGGAGGAGGCGGCGGAGACCTGTCTGCTGGGCAGAGGTGGAGCTGCAACCCGGTGGGCTGCAGCCAGCTGGGGGTGCCTGGCAGCCTGCGTGGGGTGCAGGGATTCCTGGTGGGACTTGGGCTGTGATAGAGGAGGAGGAAAGACTGGCCGGGTTGGACTGGAGGCTCCCTCTCCCTGTGCTGCTGTGTGCGACCCCATGGTGCCCCTGCCTCTCCATGCCCTCAGTGGATGCACCCAGTCCCCACACGCCTGGTGTGGTGTGGTGCGGTGCGGTGCGGTGCCACACGTGGCCGGTGCTGTGCTGCCAGCAGGGCATGGCCTCTCCTTGCCATGCCGAGGGTCACTACTGCATGGGGACAGGATGCAGCGGTGCACGCCCCGGCTGGCGCCAGAGGCAGGACTCCTGGGCTGGGCTGACTCCTCTGAGTGGCCTGGGAGAAACGGAGACGTTGTGGATTCGCTGTGACTTGGTCACACTGTGACAGGTGGCTGCTGCTCACACATGTCCCCCTCTGCCTGCTTTCTGAGAGTGAGGGAGGGCAGCCTCCGGGGACATTTCACCTCCCACCTGCAGCAGCTCTCCCCCGGGGAGTGCCCACCCCTGCGCTATCCCGCGAAGTACAACAAGGTGCTGTGGCCATTCTGGGTCTGGTTCACTGTGACCGTGGCCACGTCTGGCCACCCTGCCGGACCTCCGTGCTGGTACTGCCTTTCACCCAGAGGTGCTCAGTCCCCAGAAATCTGTCCTGCACTTGGGGTGATTTATTTTTCCTTTTTTTTTTTGGTACCGGGAATTGAACTTGGGTCCTTGCGCTTGCGCAGCAAGGGGCAAAACCACTGAGCTAAATCCCCGGCCCCATTTTTACTTTTTAAATGTGTATCTACAGTAAGTCCCAACTTACGAACATTCGAGTTGCGAACTTTCACAGCGGTTATACTGTATAACACTTTGCTGGATAGGAACGAATCCGATGTATGAACATCCTCCCACAAGGGAACTTGATCATAACTCGGGGACTTAGCATAGTACTCGTTCCCCTTTATAGGATCCAGTGCACAGTGATCCAGTCGGGGCCGTTGGCACTCCCACCTCCTCACGCACTTGCCGTCTCTGTCGGCTGAGAGCCTGCATGCTTAGTTCCTTGGAGTATGTAACAGATTGCTGGAGACCTGCCGTGCTGCTGAACACGGAAGTACCTTTCCCATCCACCTGTGCCCTGCTTCCCCTCGTCTGACCTCGCTCCACCTCGCCCTCCCCCAGCACCCTCCCCAGGCTCTGCTAACCACTCTTCTGTTCTCTACTTCCGTCAGCATTTTTAGCTCTCATGTACAGTGAGAACACACGGTACTTGTCTTTCTGTTCCTGGGTTATTTCACTCGAGCACGGTGATCTCCAATTCCATCCAGGTCCCTGAAATTTTCAGGGTTTTTCTTTTTAAAGGCTGAACAGTATTCCACTGTGTTTTCATACTGCATTCTCTTTCTCGTTTCTCCATCGGTGGACACCCAGGTCGAGTCCTGGCTTGTCCGTTGTGGGCAGTGCTGCAGTGAGCACAGATGTGCAAGGGTCTCCTACGGGGATGTTGTGTGTGTTGTGCTTGGCCTCTGCTCTGCCTCACCCTGCTCTGCTATAAAATGGGGCTGATGACACTCGTACTTACCGGATGGGGAGCCGAGAGGACTAAACGGGGGTGCAAAAGGCCCATGCCGGGTAGGTGCCGTGTGTGTGATACCACTTGCGTGCCACATCTGCGCGGCACGGACAGGCTCCTGTGATTTGCATATCGTGACCGTGAGCTCACCGCCGAGGGCTGTGTTTGACTTTCCGCAGGCTCACTGCCCGGCCCAGTCCTGGCCCCGGCAGACATTCGGCAAAAACGTGCTTAAGGGACTCGGGGTGCGGCCAAGGTGAGGGGGACTGCCGTTTGCAGAGGCGTGTGGGAGGGGAGCACACGGAAGGGGCGGGAGGTGGGGTCAGAGGAGAAAATAGGGGAAACCGAGGCTGGAGGGAAGATCGGAACGAGACGCTAGAGGGATGCCTAGGTCGGGCCTTGGGGAGCCACGGCAGGCTTCAGTGCAGGAGAGGAGCGTAGTGTTCAGAGCTGACGGAAGTGTCCGGACAGGAGAGCAGGAGAGAGCTCGCGGGGTGCCAGGGGGACACCGTGCACCCCGCCCGCACGCGGTGACCTCCTGGGCCCACACGCTCTGGCAGGTTGCCCGGTTACTGCAGCCTGTGCCTCGTGAGTCCCCGCACGGGCTCCGCGCTGCCCGCTCTGCCTCTCTCCAGCCTCCGCGCATGCGTGCGCGCGTGTTTATTGTTTTCCTGTGAAAGTGAGAGCAGCGAGCCTGCTGGAAGTGGGCCATGAGCTTTCGCCTGCTCTCCTCGCCAAGGACAGGCCCGTTCCCAAGCCCGGAGCAGCCGGGCCGAAGAGGCTGCCACTCCCGCCACTCGCGGCCCGGTGGCCATTCTGTCCCCGCCCGGCCCAGCTGGCCAGACGCGTGCCCGAGGGCGAACTCTGTCCTCGGAGGTGCGGGGTTGGAAGGCTGGTCGGCCTCCCTGGCAGAACACCGTCCTGGTCACGGTGACCTCGGGCAGGGCAGCCCCCTGCCTGTGGTGCTGGGCTTACTGCCACATGTGTCCCCTGCTTCTCGGCCACAGTGGCGGAGGCGCGCAGGGCCTGGGCCGTAAGGAGGCTGCTCCACCCACCTGCACTGGTGTGGAACCCGGCGTCTGCTGCAGCAGGCCGACCGAGGGGAGTGGAGTGTAAGACAGCAGCAGCCCTTCCCTGACGGTCTACTGTGGTGAAGCGCTTCGCATACATTATCTCACTTAATCCTCATGTGGCAATAGGCCACAGTTGCTAGCGCTGTTTTATGGGTGAAGAAAGTCAAACAAGATGGAGTGAATTAACCCCCCACGGGCCCCAGGCTGGGGTGAGTCTGAGCCCCGCGGCCCCAGCGTACATCCAGTGCTCGCTCTTCTTAGGACATGGTGCCCAGAGGTAGGACTTGGCATCTGGAAGCCTGGGTTCCACTTTGGAACTCACTCAGCTTATCGGCTCGGCTTTTCATGTCTGCTCGTCTATAAAATGAGGATATTTGTGCATATTTGACAAGGGTTCCGTGAGGGGTGAGACAAGGTAATTTGTTATGAAAGTACTTGGTAAAGTAGAAGGGGCTGTCCAGATGCTGCATCTCATTTACGTGAGTCAGTAGTAAAAACTTACTTAAAAACACTGTGTACACAAATAGGGGACGTGTGCTTTGGGCTTCGGTGGGGGCGGGATTAGTCCCCACTCCTAACGGGGCTTGGGCTTGTCAGGTGTGCCGATGGGCGAGGGAAGGCCTTGGGAGTTCCAGAGTGGGTGGGGTGGGTGTCATGCCCCACTCCCCGGGCTGTGACAGAGACCCTGGCCTGCAGTCCCGCTCCCGCCATGCCTCCTGCCGGAGACCGGCCCTCACTGGAGGCTCCTGGAGGGACGAGGACAGCAGGCCTGCCTGCGAGGGCCCCCAGGGATGGCTGTCCCAGAGCTCAGCGGCCAGAATCTCCTGGGCCCGAGCTGGTTGCAGGGCAGAGAGGATGGATGGATGGGCGGACTCCAGCGTGAAGCTTGTGTTGCTCGTCTTGGCCAAGAGCAGAGTTTACTGGGAAAGAAGAGTTCCTGCCGTTTTCTAATTTGTTGCTCGCTCGGTTCTGTGTGCCAGGGAAAAGGGAGGAGCCCGTGTTGGGCTGGAGTGGGGAGGGGGAGGCTGCACACGGCATCGGAGGGCCCCGGGGCGCGTCTCCTGCGGAGAACTCTGAGGGCAGCTGAGAGGGCGAAGCGCTACCCGGCCCTCAGCATTGTCTGGCCCCGGAGACATCCGGAAGAGGCCCCAGACGCTGCCGCGTGTGTTGTTCCTGTGTTTGTCGTCCGTCCCTGGACGCGCTGGTGCCCTGCATGCTCGGGGGTGCAGGGTCTGTGAGATTTCATCCAGGCCCTGAGAAGCTTCCTAGCAGTGAGGCTGTTTTATAACTGTTCTCAAATCACGTTAGCTCTGGAAGCTATTTTAGGAACGCCTTTGGTTGTGAACCATATCTAACATTTACTTTTGATTCTTTCCCTCATGTCCTGGATTCTGTAGCAGCATCCACAAACAGTGTACCCGGCATGGTCATAGGTGCTGGAGGTGCTTAGTACAATCAGGAGATATTGGTCAAAGCTCATTAATTCACTAGCATCAGTCCTTCTCCAAAGGACTCCTGGCCTCCTGCTATCACCACTGCTGCCCGCGGGTCAGAGGGACCCTGAGCTTCTGTCTGAGTGGGCTGAGAGGTGGAAGTCTCTGCTGCCTCCCTGTGGGCCTGTGTGTACTCCAGGGCAGTGGGAGCCGCAGCCAGCTGGGAGGCCCTGAGGGTCTGCACGCCCGCTTCCCTCCCACCTCCAGGCTGCGGCTGCCCCCCTTCCTCCTTTTCTGCTGCAGCATGGACAGGTAAGGGCAGCGTCTTGCTCTTCTATAGTTTAGCCTTGGGAGCTGTCAGAGATTTGGTCTTTGACTTGCTGGGGAGGATGAGCTAGCACGGTGGCAGCCTTCCGTCCCAGGGGTGAGTTAACTGATTTCTGTCTCCTTTTGTGCCTCACGCACGGCTGCAGGGAAAAGCGACCCATGCCCACGCCTCCAGGGCTCGCAGCTGGGTCCCTGCTTTTAGCCCAGAGGAGAGGAGAGTGGCGCGTTTGTGGCACCGTAGGTTACTTGTCCCTTTGAAAGTGCTGGGGGACCCCTTCTAGAAGCTGGAGTCAGGAGAGTGAGTTTGTGTTTGATAAGTCCAGATCAAAGGGAGGAGAGAGTGGCAGAAACCTCAGAGAGGTGTGGTGGGCGGGGAGGGGACTTGGATCCTGCGGGCCCATTCTGGTGTTTGCCCGGGACTTCGGGAGGCTCCGACCGTCTGCTTCACCGGCCCACACGTATGGATTCAGTGCTGCTTGGAACATCGCTTCAGGAGAGGAGAGAAGCATTCTAAAGCCTTCTGGGGTCCTGGAAAGCTCCTCAGTGGACTCATCGAGGCGTGGCGGCAGATCAGCAGGCCCTGGTGCTTGCTGGCCTTTGGAGAAAGGTGAGCAGTCTCGTAGCAATGTGGCCTGTGGGGTCTCCATCTGCCTTGCCCAGAATGAATGGAGAGCACAGCTACACGTCCTGCTTGGTCTGGTGCAGACCTTGGCTCAGATTCTGGGCCAGTGTCAGTAGTGTCCCAGTGTCTTCTCCCTGCCGGGTTTGGCCAGGTGGACAGGATCCATTCAGAGAGCACTCAGGAAAGGAGCAGGTGAGCTTTGAGACTGATTTCCAGCCCAGGGAGAAGAGCAGATCATGCAGATGATGTACATGAAATGGTTTGTGCGCTGCACGGAGAAAGAATGCAACAAAGGCTTTTTGATAAGTTCCTACAATCCGAGAGAGAAACTCCTGAAGAAGACAGGAGGCAGGGTTTTAAACAGGGTGTGGGGGAGCGAGGTGGAGTGGCCAGGGAGGATGGCCTCGGGGGTGGCCTCTGCTGAGGCGAGTCTGTGGCCCCGTGGCTGTCTGGCCGCTCTGCAGCAGGGGAAGGGGTGGGTGTTCTAGCTCTTGCTCCTAACTAGAAAAAATAGGAAAAGGACAGAGGAGGGGTGCTGGCGGGCAAATAACGCTTAGAGAGCTGACAGGGTTTACTCTGCAGCGGGGAGGGCGTTTGCCAAGCACAGCACTGTGGGTTAAGTGGACGTCAGGGGAGGCGGTGTCAGACCGAACCTCTGAGGGCTCTGGCACCCTGGGCCGGTGGTCGCGGAGGTGGGGTCGGAGGTGGAGGTCAGTGTGGGGAGCCGCGGTGCTGCCTGCCCTCTGCACTGCAGAGGCCAAAGGAGGCGGGTGGGTGGCAGGCGGGTGGCGCCCCTGCTGTGGGTCACACTTGGATGAGCAAATGACCACCCCGCCCCGCTGTTGCTCCTGGGGAGGCGGTAGTGATCCCTGCCACTCAGACTTCTCGCCGGGTACCTGGCACGGTTACTGCATGTTTCACGCCCGAGCTCGAGTGCATCTGCTCAGCAGCACTGTGGCAGGATGTGACAGCCGCTCGGCCCTCCCCGTATGGAGAGGATTTAGGCCAGAGGAGCTGGCCCTCTGGACCCGCCCAAGCATCTAGGTGCAGGGTGAATCTGCAGGCATCAGAACCTTGCAGCCCCAGGACCCTAAGGCCTGCAGCTGGCAGCCAGCCCAGGCCACTTGGGTGTGGACAACAGCTCTGTGTCGCTGCCTGCGGGGTCGGGGCGGGGGGCAGGGGCTGCAGGGACAGGGCTGCCCAGCTGGCAGGTGTGGGCTGTCCGCGGCTCTCGGAAGCTCCAGACTTCTGCTCACGTCCATGGCTTACTCAGCTCGGGCAGGTGATGGCCGGGTCCCAGCCTCTGGTGCCCGGCACAGAGGCCCCAGGCACGGCTCTTTGGAATCAGCAAGCGGCCATTCTTGCCGCAGGACCCACTGCTTCCCAGACCCCCAGCCCACCCCTGGAGGTCTGGAGTTTCCAGAGGGGCACTGGGGACTGTGGGTGCCCCTCACCCCAGTGGCCTGTCCCTGGGGGATTTCTGAGTGCTGCCTCTTGTCTCTCACAGGCAGGCTGGCATCGCTGCTCGGAGCGCCTGTGCTGGAGCCCAGCCTGGGGCCGTGCTCTGCATGGGTCCTGGAGGGCCTGAGCGTCTGCTCCTCTCCGAGGGAGAAACTTCGACCCCATCCTCTGCAGAACCCACAGGACTGCAGGCCCAGGTGCTCACTCAGCACTGCCCCGTCAGCTCCCCTGGCAGAGGATGTGCCCACTGTCACAGGCTGTGTGGAACGGTGGCTATGCTGCGGCCTCACCTTGTGGAAGCCGTTTGGCGAGTGTACCCCGGACACTGCTCTTCTCTGTGGGGTGGACTGTGTGGCCTAGACAGCCCTCGGCCCCTTTCCACCCTCAAATGAGAGCCTTGGCCCCTCTCTCCCTCCCAGCGCTTTGCTGCTGGAGTCCCGGCCCCGCCTCGCCTGACCTCACGGCCCAGCGGTCCCCTCTGCTCCTGCCCTGGGCAGTCCGTGAGTACGGGCTCTGAAGCAGGTGCAAGGCCGGTGCAGGATGGAAGCGGAAGCTCAATGCATAGTCTCGCAGGGACCCCCTCCTGGTTGTGTTCGTGACTTGCGCTGTCCAGATCTGACTCGGGCGGGAGGGAGACTCCGTTTTCATGTCACGTGGGCTGAGTTGCGTGGTCATCCGTGCCCTGGTCCTGCATGCCCTCGAGACATCTGTCCCTGTGAGCATCAGTGATGTCCATGGGCACCGGCCTGTGGCTGGAGGGCCTCTGGCCAGGGCCCCATCCCTGCCTGTGTCTGGCCTGTGTGTGGCACGAGCTCTGGGTTCGTTGTTGAGCGGGGTACAGAGGTCTTCCTTGTCACTCACCGGCCCAGCCACGCTCTACCTCTGCACATTGTCTCATCCGCCGGCAGGGCCGGGGTTTGAAGAGCAGTCAGCCGAGAGGCACGTTGGGTTTCTGAGTCCCGGAAGGCTTGGTGCCCCTGCCTGGGGGCAGCACGGGAAGAGGAATGTGGTCCCGGCTCACAGTCAGAAGAGCAGGGCCAGTTCCACTGCCGGGAGGGGTTTGCTGAGGCCACGCTATGAGTCCGCTGGGGCAGCTTAGACTCTGAGATTGGTGGCCTAGGACAGGGTAGTGCTTTGGCTTCTCTCCCTTTTCCGGGAGGTGTAGGAGCCAGCCTGGGCAGGATACTTTGGAGCCTAGATTTTTGGCCCGAGAGACGGCCTGACTCAGTGTGTCCGGGAGACGGTGTCCACTTACAGACAGGGCACACTGGCCACAACGTCACTGTCCCAGGCTGGCCGGCCCTCACCTGAACACGCGCCATCATGCTGCTGCCCTCGGGCGCATTCTGTGAGGGAGTCTTGCTGGTGTTGGGGTCTCCCCCACTTGTGCTGGGGACTTCGGGCCTGACATGGCTTTTCCTCCTGTCTTTACCTGCAGGTGCACTCTGCGGGCTGGCGGCTGCCAGGCTCCGCTCCCCATCTGCGTCTGCCTCTGCGTCACCCCTGCCAGGACCCGCCCTCCGGCACAGCCTGTCCCAGCCCTTGTCTCTTGGATTTTCACTTGGCACCCGGCACTGCATTGTGTCCTTGGAGTGTTTGTTGTCGCTGCTGGGCCTTGTTTCACTGCAGCTTGGTGGCCGGAGGGAAGTGCGTCCTCCACCGGGCTGGGGACTTGGTGGGGAAATCTCCTCAGTGGCCTAGGATACTCCCAACGGAGGCGGCAGGGTGTCTGGTGACGGCTGACCAGGGCACGGTCGTCACCGTTGGTGGCCCTGTTTCAGGAGGAACTGTCGCGTGAATGCCACCTGACTTCCAACTGCCAAGAGCCCTTTTCTCTTCTGGATCCTCTTCCCCAACCCAACAAGCACTTTTCAGACCTGCAGTGATCATGTACATTTGTAGATTGTTTGTTTTGGGTTCTTCTTGAAGTTCCCCAAGATTAGAAAGTCTTCTCTTCCTACCAAGCATAGAACTGTCCCAGTAAGTTGGCTTTTTTTTTTTTGGTGGTGCCGAGGGCTGAACCCAGGGCCTTGTGCATGCCAGGCAAGTGCTCCACCACTGAGTTACATCCCTAGCACGTAACCTGGCTTTTACTTGCCTTCTTCATCCACCTCTCTCCGTGTCTTTGGCCTGTGACCCGAACATAGTTGACTTGTGTACTTCCTTAGGAAGCTGCATCTGATTAGTGCCTTTTCTCATACCAAAGGCAAAGTCGCCACAGCCAGCATTACCAGCATCACAGTGATAACTGAGATTAACTGAGTGCTTACTTTGTGTTGGGCTTGATGCTAAATGCTCTGTATCTCATAATAAGGCCCCTGAGGAAACACCTGTGAAGTAATGGATAAAGTTGAAGTTAGAAACTTAGGATGGTTAAGGAAATTGTTCAAGTTTATATAAAGAGTAAAGAGGCCCAAGTATTCAGATTCAAGTCTGCAGCACTTAAGAGAGTCTTTAGCTACTTTCTGCACTATCTTTGCTCAGTAGTACTACTCAGCAAGTGACTGGGGACGCGAGGTTGCTCCCGCCGTCTGGCTGGCCTCCATAGTCTTGCTAAGGATGATAGCACCCAGCATTTCTTGAATGCTGAACAGTGCTAAGCTCTGTAAAGAGTAATGTGCATAGGGCCGGGGATTTAGCTCAGTGTTTCTGGTGCCTGCCTTGCAAGCTCAAGGTCCCGAGTTCGATCCCTGGTACCAAAAAAACAAAAAACAAAAAAGTGACATGATAGCTTAACTGTATCAGTTAGCACATTTAATCCTCACAGCTCCAAGAGATAGATTACCCCCATTTCGCTAATTAGGAAGCTGAGGGTCAGAAAGGCCAGGGTAGCTGTCCATGGTGACGTAGCTACACAATGTTAGTCAAGAAGTCAGGGGATTGAACTGTAAGCATGGGCTCCTAGTCCGTGTGCTGCAGCTTATCAATGCACTCACTTTCACCCTGTGCTTGCCTTCTTGCTGTCCCTTTCCTTAGCTCCTGCTGCTTTTCTCTGTCTCTTCCTTCTCATCCCTTTCTTCCTGAGAACCCCAGGATGCAGCCCCTTCTCAAACTGCCTGTCACCACCGAGCTTACTTCAAACCATTGACATTTTAATTCATATTTTCATAAACCTAAAGGTTATGATCCCATCACAGTAGTAGATCTATTTTCTCTTTCTTGTTTCTGACCAGAGGGAGGGAACGGGGGCCCGTATGTATCAGGGCACCTGATTTATGACACGGGGGCCCTGCTCAGCAGAGGGAAGGGGCGGTCACCTTAATAAACATTTCTAGGTTTAGTGGAATCTCTGCAAGGAAATAAGTGAATCTGGACCATATACAAAAATAAATTCCAGGCTGGGTGTGGTGCCACACGCCTGTAATCCCAGCACTTGGGAGGCTGAGGCAGGAGGATCACCATGAGTTAGAGGCCAGCCTGAACTGCATAGTGAGACCCTGCCTACAAACAAATAAATTCCAGCAAGATCCTCAATCTGAACATGAAAGTTAAAATAGGGCTCATATACAAGATGACACTATGTTTATATCCTCGGATAGCCAAACATTTCTTTCAGAAGACACAGAAAGCACTCGGTGTGTAGGAAAAAAGCTTGATAAATTGGATGGCATTAAAAGGAGGAACTTCTGATCATTAAGACATCAGTTTTAAAGCAAAAGCAAGCAGTGTGGAGGAAATGCACACACTACCTCTAATCGGTAAGTTGATTCATATTCGGAAAAGGGAGAAACTCTTAACAGGTCCACGAGCGAAGGAGCCCCTCCACGGGCACAGCGTTGCTCATCCTGAGGGGCTGAGTCGCGTCCCGTCCCGGTCCGGGGTTTACTCGGGTCCTCAGGGTGGCCCAGCCTGGTGTGGACGTGGACGGCGGGCTTTCCTTGTCGCGATCCGCCTCGCTCGGGCGCTCTGACGCCCGCGTAGCTCTCCCTTCTCGTGAATGCTCATGCCTCTCTCTCTCTCTCTTTTCCTTCCGCCTGCTAACTTACGATCAGCTATTTTAAGAGTATTTCTCTCCCGCTTCTTTTCCCCCCTTCCCTTTTCATTCCCCTTTTTGTACCTTCTTGTTGAGCCTAGAAACTTGTGGTTATAAAGACTGTCCTAAAATGTCTCAAAGTCTTTAGGAGACCGGGCTCGTGCTGTGGGCACGCGAGGCTGTGCAGCAACCTGAGAGCCAGCGGGACCTGCGCAGACGCAGGCAGAGGACACAGACGCAGACACAGCCTTGGCTGTGCTCATTGGTCCAGTCCTCCACAGTGGGCGTGGCTGCTGAGTCCAGGGCCAGCTGAGAGTGACTGGTCTTGCTGCTGCTTTGAGGGCCTGTGCATCGTCCGCTGGCAGCGGGGTTGTGGTCATCCTTCGCAGTCCTGTCTCCGAAGCCCTGGTCAGACCCTCACGGGTGTCTCAGCTGGGAGAAAGCCCGGCACCAGCATGACTCCTCACGCCTCCTGGCGGGCCAGGCCGGGCTGGGCAGGGGCGTCGGTGGTTTACCAGCGTCACTCATCCCAGAAAGTGCCTCGGACACCCGTGCAGCCGTCGGTGTGCGGCCGCGGCAAGCTCTGAGCGAGACTGAGGCGCTTCTCCCCGCATAACTGCGTCTCCGCGGCAGGCTCTCTTCGGGTGTATTGTTTCTTGTTTATTTTATTGAATTCCTCACTCTGGCAGTGCTTGTTCCCTCTTTTCATTGCAAATGTATTATGTTTTGGACTTGGAGGACAAACTGGAAACTCTAGGTATGCTTGACTTTAAAAAGTTTTGAACATGTTTAAAAACCAAGAGCTTAACATAACAAAGCTTGATTTTCCCCTGTTCTGAGAAATTTGGAGGATCTGGACTCTTTGGGTCTCTACTCCCAGATGGCGCCGTGGGGGCAGAGCTGGGAAAGGCTGCCCATGCGGCCAGGCGTGTTCTCCTCAGCCCGTGTCGCTTTCCTGCAGGCACTGGGGTGGGTGCCTCCTCAAAGTGGTCAGATGGCTTTTGTGGGGCAGCCCAGGAGCCCAAGCAGTACGGTTCCTATTGCTTCACTGGGAAAGTGAATTCCAGCTTTCAAAGAGGGAGTTTTGAGACACCAGCAGTGCAGATTTGGAGATGCTTGTGGATCCACAGCTGGCTGGTTCTGTCTGAGGTACTGGCCACATCCTGTACCTCTGTGCTGTATGCTGGCTTAGCACTTAGTTGGTCCGTAGTAAATGATTTTCCCCTTGTGGTCAGCAGGTGCCAGTTGTCCATCCCTTCCAAGTGGTGAAGAAAAGTGTCCTCTCGTTGTGGGTCTAGGCCTGTCACTTCCGCCTGACACTGAATTGCTGCCTGCTTTATCTGGAGCGGCAGCGTAGCTCCAGATATCTATCTGCACGAAGTGTGGAACCAGCCCCTGCACCTCAGCCCTGCCCTGAGAGCCTGGATTCCTTCTCTGAGCGAAGCCTGGGTCCCTGTAGAGCCGGCCTCGATGAGGAAAAGCGAGGACAGAGAGGCAGCTCGAAGGTTGCCTTCCTGGCAAGACGGATGCCTGCTGGACAGGAGTTTGTGGCCGGTACAGAGTGCTTGCATTCCACACCCTGGACAAGGGTGGTCAAAGTTCAGTTCATGGCCTTGAAAGGAAAAATAGAAAAGAAAAAAGAAAAGAAACCTGGTCTTTGGCATTTGGAAGTTTTGACCCAGATCTTTAGGAGAACTCACAGTGCCCAGGGAGACTTGGGTTCCTAAGGCTGGTAGCTGCGGAGAGAGCAGGAGGGCCTGTGAGCCCTGGGGCTAGAGCTACAATCCTGCCTTTCTGCGTTCGCCCAGGGCTGGCCTTCTCCCTGCTCTGGAGTTATCTTTACCCCCTGAAATCAAACACTGCATGTGGCACCCTGTAAAACTGCTTCCTTGTCGGCTCGAGCATGCTTGCTAAGTAAACATCCTCCCATGTTTTTGGATCGGAATTCATTTTTGCTTCCTGGTCATCCCATTTGGATTTTTCTGATCCTGACGCCCCACTGAATCAGGTTAATAGAAGGAAGATCTAGGACTGGGCAGAGGCACCTAAAGGGACTCTCTTCAATACTAGTGAAGTTGTGGGAATGGTCACGGGGTCACGGGCAGAGAAGATTTAGATGAGAAGTGAAACGACACGAAACCTTCCCACACAGTGTCCTCATAATGCTTTGCAAGCTACAGTTGGTCCCCACCACCCCACCCCGCGCCGGGACTCGTCTTTATCCAGACTCGAGCCCCGTTCCGCCGTGGGTTGTGGGCCTCCGTGGTCCTCTTGACAGATTCCATGGCTGTGAGTCCCTCCTCTGACCCTGGCTGCTCTCACTCATCTCTTGTGACTTGCTCGCCTCTTCTCTCCCGCGTCCACCCACCCATGACACCCCATCGCCATGGCAGTGAGCAGCCGCGTCATTCGCCGAGTTCTCAGGGTGAAGGGCCAGTGCTGCGGAGCCTATTCCCTCTGGTTCTCCCTCCTGAAGGAGGAGCTCCCTGGCAGAGCTCAGAGCCCTTTGTTTATTTGATCCTGGGCTCTTGGATAAATCAGGAATGTCCTGACATGAACTTAGGCATGTTTTTCTTCCATGGAGAAGGAAACTATGGCAAATAGGACTTGAGTAAGCAGAAGACCATTCCGGGGGACTTGTTTCAGTGCCATCAGGGCCACATTCCTTTGGTCATCAGACCAGTAGGTGACTTCTCTATTGGCATGCTCCACCCTAGAGCCCAGAAGGTGTGAATTTAAAGCACTTTCCCCCCTATTGGGAGCCTGGCACACAGCCTCTGGGCTTCTTTTAATACCATGTACTGCCAGGGTTATCTTCCAAGTGGTCCTTCGTTTTGCTGGTGAAAACTTGGCCCAGCAGAGTTGCCTGAAGAAGGCTGCTTGGAACCAACATGTGAGGCAAGGTGGCTGCCTCTAGTTTGTGTTCCTGTGAGCTTCTTGATGTGGTAGGCTTTGTGAATCCACTGCCCCAAGACTTGAGTGCATCTTGTATGCTTGGTCAGCTCCAGGTTCATACAGCACAGCTGGTTGCATGTGTGTGTTCTTTGCATGTAGCCATGTGGGAATCTGAGAGGCACAGGGTGTGTCTGGTTAAGTAGGGTCCCTTGGGTTAATATCTGAGCTGTTTTCGGTGCATTTGTGAGTCTGGGGTTCAGAAAGATGTTGGGTGCCCCCTGCTTTGCTGCGTGGAGACATGTTGGATCCATAGCCAGCCCTAGTTGTCTCTGGGGGGGGCACCCTCGCGGTGTGGATGTGGGAGGTGGGCTGGTGGATGCCCATCCAGGAGAGGGGAACCCTGGCGCTGGCCGAGTGAGGTCTAGGCTTGGCTGTCACTGTGTTTTGCTGCTTTTCATGTTGTCAGAAGGCTCTTCTTGGGAACAAATGACTCAGCAACCTGAATCTTGGAGACTGTGTGGCCTAAGTGCCTTGGGGAAGACATCGGATCTGTCTACCTCGGCCCTAAAATTTTGAACCCTGAAAGGACAGAGATCCAGTTTGGTTTGACTCTGTGTTCTGCAGGCTGCCGTTCAATTTGGGCTTTCAGATTCCTGCCCTGATAGAAGGATCTCTCTCACTTTGTGGGGTAAGCAGGCAATGTTTTAATTACGCTTTTTATCCTTAGGAAATTCCAGGGAGAAAAAGGTCCTGGTTTGTGGCCAAAAAGGCGCAAACAACAACAGAAATCAGCTCTGGCTGTAATTTTGGATTTGTCTGTGGCAGAAAGAGTTTAATGGGGTGGTGGTCTCAGGATGAGGACCATTTTTTTCCTGTGGTTGGGGGAAACCCATGTGGCTTAAAAAAAGATGATGCAACGCCTAGCCTGGGACGGCCCTGTCTGGGTTCCGGGCCACTGCTCAGAGTGAAGAGGCCTGGGGCCGGGCAGTCCTCAGGGAGCAGGCGAAGGTGCAGGGACCCGGACCTCAGTGTCCCAGAACAGTGAGGTACGAGGGGGTGAAGGGCCGAGAAGTGTGGCCAAGAAGCGGAGTGCAAGACCAACTTTCTTTCTTCTTTCTTTTTTTTTTTTTTTTTTTTTGCCTTGTTTGACTAGCCTTGGCACTGCCCTCCAGCTCTCCAGGGGAAAGCTGCAGTTCTGCTCTTGCAACACAAGGAGCAGGCTGGAGAATTTAGACCTGCGTCACAGAGCTCAGAGAGAGAGAGAGAGTGAGAGCGAGTGAGCGAGCTCCGTGGATAGGTCTGCTAGCAACAGCCGTGCTGCAGCAGAGAAAGAGAAATCAAGAACCAAGTCATAGCAACACCAGCACGGTTCTGAGAGCTCACTTGCCAAGCCTGGAGATCCGTCGGCTGGAGGCCTCTGGGCTGAGGCGATGTCACGCAAGGTGGCACGGGCAGTTCCCGTGGGGGCAGGGGTTGCGGGGCGACAGCAGAAGGTTTCAGGGGACTGGATTCTCGAGGCCGGACGGAGGTCTGGGTGTGCACAGGCGGTGATGGGTGGTCCCGGGCTTCCGGACCTGGTGGCGCAGCCCGCTTCCCCCTCGCGTACGTATTTGCCGGGATCGGGGCCATTTCTCTGCCTGTGTGGGTGCTCTGTCTTTCTCACCTTCTTTCTCGCTTTTTGCTGTTTTTTTTTTCTCCCTGAGGGAGGGTTTTTGCACTTTAATTTCTGCTCCCTTGCTGTCAGCTGCTCAAGCCTGACCGTGGTGGAGGAGACGGGGGTGAGCTGTCCCGGGCTTCCCAGCCACCCCCAGCCTTCACCCCGTTTCCTTCTCGGGGACAGAAGGACTGGCTTTCCAGGTGGTTCGGACAGTCGCGTCCCTCTGTCTGTGCAGGGCTACGTGGAAGGTGAGGAGTGAGCAGCACCAGGAGGAGAAGTGTCCGAAGGAGGCACCGCAGGGACAGGCTTTGCCAGGTCTCTCCCTGGAGATCTGGGGCTGGAGGGTTGCGTGGCCAGGGTGGGTGCGAGTGGGGAGAAGTAGGGTGAAGCTGATAGGTTTGTCACTGCGCAGTTGGAAAAGTGGAGGTTGGTGACGCAGTCACTGTTGCGTCTCCCTAGGAGCTCTGTGGGGAGAGGTAGTGAGGCTGTGGGGTCGTGGAGCCAGCCGAGAGGGGCTGAGGATGAGCTGGGAAGCGGAGCTAGCATTTGGAGATTAAATGTCATCGCTTTGGCGTTGGAAAGTTGTTTACCTTGTGCTCTGTGTCTCCATGTTGGCTCCCTTCCAGTTCACATGTGATGGCCTTCCCTGTACTGCTGCATCTTTAACTAAGTGACTGAGCTGGCCTTCCATTGGCCAGGGGAGGGCTCTCACTCCAGACACTTCCTCTGATTGGTGGGTGGGCCAGTGGCAGGTGAAAAGCTTTATTTGATTGGCTGAGGCCAGGGTATCAACTCTGAATTTGCATTTCACTTGCTTAACGGGGAGGGGGAGCAGCCCAGCAGCTTTCTAAAATCTCTTTAGGGGTGTGCGTAGGCTCCTGTGTCTGCCTGCTTCTGACTGCCCAGTCGAAGCCTCTTCCTGTGCTTTTTTAAATTTCATGCACTATAAGGAAGGAGAGCTCAGGGCTTCCTAAACTTTCTTCGTTTTTGGAGGGAGGAAGGCTTCAGAGATGGGTACGCAAGGGTTGACCACACTGGAAGGAAATATTTGTCCTCTAGTTTCTTGTTGGAAAAGGGAATTTTCCAATCAGCCACACCTCAGTGTTGCGGCTAAATAATTCTCGGCTCCCCTGGAAACGCTTGGGCAAGGTAGGGCAGAGCTGCTGCCACCACCCTGGGCTTCCTGCTGACTCCGGGCTGCTCCCCGGGGACGGGAGCTTTGCACTGACGTCCGGCTGTCCAGAGGTCCTCCAAGCCGGCCCGAGCTGCACCCTCCATGGGAAGCACGACCTCCCTTTGGGAAGCTGTCCGTGCTGCCTGGGGTGAGGAAGGTGAGGATGGGGGTCGACCACCAGAAACTGCGTATTTCGTGGGATTTCCTGAGAAGTCACTGGGCAGCAGGAGGTTTGGAGGTCCTGGGTGCGAGTGGTTTTGTCGGTCCGGGACCGGGAGAATGAGAATGAAACTGGGCCAGAGGCTGTTCGCCTGGGTGGGGGAGGGAGGCCGGGAAGTCAGGGTTCCGACTCCCCATCGCGCCCCTGGGGTGGCCCTCGCGTTGGTGGGGAGGGGTTTCCAGAGCCCTGCGCCATGCACAGCGGCCCCCGCCCATGGCTGCGCATCTGGGAGCGCACTGCGCCCTGGGTCTCCGGACTGGGACAAGCACCGCCCTCCTCCCCGTTACATAACGGAGGCCGGCCGGTGCCTTCTTGGCCCTTCCTTGGAACCCTAGCTCCTGGCTCCCCAGGGCCCAGGGGCTGGGGAGGGTCTGGTGGGGGGCAGGGCAGGGGCAGGGGTAGCTCTTGTCCAGGCGGGGCAGGACTGGGTGTGAGGCGGTCCCGCCACAAGCATGGGCTGCAGAACATCCTTCTGAATGCCCTGAGTCCCCTCTGGCCCCCAGGCGTCGGCGGGCGGGGAGCGTGGTGCCCTTCTTTCCCTGGCACCCCTCCTGCTTTGGGGAGGAAGCTCCTGAAGACAGAGCACTGAGGGCTGTGCGTGTAAGGAAGGCGTGGAGGCCCGTGGGGAGGTGGCTGGCAGTCTCGTCTCTGCCCCTCTCCCCCGGAGGACCCCTCTCCGGAGTCATGCACTGGCTGCCATTTTGGAAGCGTTTCTGCTGGCCTCTGACATGGTGGCTGGTGGCGTTGGTTCTTCTGGTCCCCGCTGTGCCAGTTCCGCAGTGTGGGCGGGGGGCGGGGGCGAAGGCACAGCAGGGCGGGCTCAGCGGTGGCTGCTGCGGCGAGGTGGCCCCAGGGGCACAAGTGCCTGTCCCATCCTTGGACGCAGCCCCGGTGAGGGTCCCAGTGGAAGCACTCTGGGGTGAGGGTCCCTGGCCCGGGCCCAGCTCCATAGATCCTGGGCATTGGGCTTCTAGAGTGCCATCAGCCTGAGGCTGGGACAACTGGGGACGTGTTGGGAGGCGGTGGAGGACAGGGCAGACCTGTGGTGTGGGCACAGGTAGCTTCTGTCTGCACGGCCTCCCCATGGGATGGGGAGAGGCCATGGCAGCCTGCAGGAGGTGTTCAGATGGCTGCCTTTGCCCTCTGCCTTCCCCTGTCCCCTCCGTGCCCCCTTCAGTGGCGTGGTTCCAGCTGCCGTCCTCCACGCAGACTCCCTGCTGCTGTCCCTCTCCCCTCCGGGCCCTGCTGCGTGCAGCGGCCATCTTGTCTGTCTTGCTCACAGATCTAAAATGGTTTCTCGTTGTTCCCAGAATGGAATTCCTTCCCTGTAGCACGATGCTCCGGGCTGTCTGGAACCGGCCTTAGCTCTGCTGTGCTCTCTCACATCTCTCAGTTTCCCTAGATGGCCCATGCACTCCAGCTCAGCCAGACCACTCACGTTTTCTTGCTTTTCCTGTCTCCCCGTGTCTACTAGTGGTATTTCCCATGCCTGTTCTCCACCTCGTCCACCTGTGGCAGACCGACCTCCTCCACGGACCTCTCCTCATCCCCCTGGCCAGAAGCAGTCCTCTGCCTCTCCTGCTGCTTCCATCAAACCCCATACACTTCGCCCCAATTTTAATGGTACTTTTATTGTGTTATGGTTCCTTATGAGAGGACTTATGTCACCTATTAGCAGTCTAACCCTAAGAGGGAGGCCAGGGAAAGGAAGAAGGACGAGACGCCTATTTGGTGCCTTCTGTTTGCCAGATACCTTGTTAGGCTCTTTTAGGGCAGTCATTCCATTTATTTGTACTTTAACTTCACAAGAGGAGCCCCTTTGCTGGCAGGTGGTCTGGTCATGTCAGAGTCCTGGTCTTCCGAAGCCTTTACATTTTTCCTTTCTGAATCCTTGGTGTTTGCCAGATGCCTGTTCGGAGGCGGATCCTGAAAATGTGGCTATTTAAGGAATGCTGTGAGTCCCTGATGCTGTGTGGGAATTCGGTGGCCGATCTTGGTCCATGGTCTGGGTGACTTAGCTGTCCCACGCCGGCCTTTTAACTTTCTCCTTTTCTTTGTGGCCAGGTTCACTCAGATGATGGATATGTGGGTGTGGGTGGGTGTGTGTGTGAGAGAGTAACTGAAATTGGCAGATTAGCAAGCCCCAGTTATCCCGCTGCCTTCCTCCTGGAAGAGGAGGCAGAAGTGGGGTGGGTGACGCTGTCTTCACAGGAGGTTGAGGCGGGAGCCCACCTGGGCTTGGACACACTCAGGTCTGATCTTGAGCCTGCCTCTTTTCAGCCGGGTGATTTTAGGTAAGACTTAGGGTCCTCAGTCTGTGAGGTTTAGCCAGGATGACCCATTACACAGAAATGTACCACAGCGCCAGGCCAGCAGGCTCCTGTGGCCCTGCCCACAGCTGGCTCAGCCCAAGAGCAGGGCAGGTGACTAGAGCGGAGCTGGGGGAGGGGAGCTTGTGCTTCAGGGGTCACATGGGCGGGAGTGGCTCCCTGCTGGAGTGGACCCCTCTAGCCCTGCAGCAGGGCTGCAGGTGGCAGAGTGAGGGTTAAGCAGTGAGCCTTCCTGGGAGCCTTTTGATGCCAGGTCCGCTTCCCTTCTTTCGGAATCTCGGCAGTGGCTGTGCTTCCTGAGGCCCGAGTCCCTCGGGAGGGGCACCGGGTGCGCTGATCCCCTCGTCACCAATTCCGGGGCTGCAGAGCGGCGAGTGACGACAGCCAGTGAGTCGTCTGTCGAGGGCAGCGGGGCCCTGGTGACGGCTGCTTGTTGTTTTTTTCCTCTGTGGAAGATGACTCAGTGTGTCGGGAGCCGGGAGATGGAGCTCTCCGCCGAGTGGCCAGAATGTTCTGTCAACACGAGAGCGGCAGGCACAGCTCGTGGGGTCTGCGAGGATCCCCTGCCTGGGGTCGTTTTCAGGGAGGGCTGCGCAGAGGAGGAGCCCTGCCAGGCCTCGGGTGGGGAGCACCAGGTGCCTCCTCGGGGCACTGCGACCCAGGGATTTTAGGGCAGGGCAGGGACGCAGCCGATGGCAGTGTGTTGTTCAGGGAGCTTGGAAAACAGGGTCATTTTTTGAGCTGTTCTCCCTGGTCCCAAATGACAGACATCTTTCTCGGGTCACACAGTCCCGGCTGCTGCTCCCTGGGCCGCGTCTGCAATGGGGCTGATGATCCTGTTCTCGAGCAGGGTGGGGACCCCAGAGCAGCTGCCCCAGACGTGGCGCCCAGACGCCTCTGCCCGAAGGGGTGGGCCCGCCTCCCCGGACTAAGCTGAGGGCGGTGGCTTCTCCTTCTCGTCCCCGGTGGGCTTTCTTCCTCCATCCACCTCGTGTCCTTCTGTGGGGGGCAGGACGCTGAGCTCTTCACCTTTTGTGCGTGGTCATGGTGGCGCCGGCTCTGGGCGTTCCTTGGTGCTGCAGCACTGCGCCACGGCCTCGTGATGCCCCGCCGGCCCCGCCCGGAGCGCAGACGCCGTGCGCCGCCACTGCCACTGCCGCGGTCCCCTTCTGTGCTGCCCCTCGGCCGGCCGGAGTCTGGGGCGGAGGAGCGGCCTGCCTGGCGCCCACTCCCTGCTGTCTGTCCGGAGCTTTCCTTTCCGGTGGCCGACGCTGGCACGGGCCCTGTGGAGCTCGCTCTCCACATCCCGGACGGCTGGGAGGCGCGGCTTCTGGGCCCTGAGAGGAGCAGGACGGGGCTGGGGGCCAGGGCCCCTCACACCGAGTCTTCTTGAGCTGGGTACAGAGCGGCCTGACCTAAAAAGACTGCGTGTGTGGGAGGAGGGACGCCTCCGCCTCGCGTCTCTGTCCTGAGCAGTGTGCTGAGAGCCTGAGCTCCGAGCGCCCTGGTGTCTGGCTCGCTGTCGCAGAGTGGCCCTGGACAGGCCCTTAGCAGACTGCACCCCCTGCCGGCCTTTCTCCAGGACCACGGCCCGAGCCACTGGGCCCAAGCCACTCATCCTGCTTGTGTCATTAGAAGGCAGCAGAAGCCAAGGGCCACGGTCCCAGGAGCCACGTGCAGACCCAGGTGGGCGCTGTTCGGGTCCATGCAGCCGGGTGTTGGGGCCCCTGGAGCAGCCCCTCCTTTGCCTCCACAGAGTAGGCGGCAAGCGCAGGGGGAGCCTCAGGCCACACGGGCAGCGCTGAGGACGGCTCTGGGAGCGAGATGCCCTGCTGCTGGATGGAGAGGCTGGCTGTTCTCTGCACAGAACAAAAACCAGAACAGAGCAGAGATGCCTGGTGCCCATGGTCTGGCAGCAGTGAGTACTCGGAGTTCTCCCCCTTCTTCAGAACCGGACGTGCATGCGTGTTCACTACTCCTGTTCTCCTCCTGCCCCACGCCTAGTCCTCCGGAATCGAGCATTGGGTTGATTTTCTGGAGCGCCTGGATTTCGGTGTTCAGCCTCTGCTCCGCCCCCTCACATTCAGGTTTCCCCAAAGCCTGAGCCAGCAGCCCTGTCTTTCTGGCAGTTGCTGATGGTCAGTGGTCAGCACAGAAGGACCCTGTGTGCCCTTGCTGCCCAAGGGGAGGGGAGGCGCCCAGCTGGCGGGCCAGGGGAGGGCAGTGCTTCCTGCCAGCACCTAGCACGGTTCTCTGCCAAGTTCTAGCTCCAGATCTCCGGCTGCTAGGAACCTGGACTATATATAGCAGCGTGCTAAGCAGCTCTTATCAGGCGTGTCCGCCCTCCCCTGGGGAGAGGAGACTCCTGCCAGGGCTGTGAGCCCTCTCCAAGGGCCTTTTATTTGTGTGTGTATGGGTGCCTGGCTGGGGCTGCCACGTCGACTCTCCGCCTTTCAGATGCTGACAGACCCCGAGTTCATTCAGATCGGATCAGCGGGGCTGGGAGTTCTCCCGGGATGTTGGGCTTGGAGAAGGAGAGATGGGGGAACCGAACACACGACGCACGGTGAAGCCAGTGTGGCCACATCCAATCCCTTTCCTGTTTGCCTTGCTTTGCCCAAGGGTGTGCTGGCCTCTGCCTTCCTTTCTGTGGACCTCTTGCCTCCGCCACCTTCCTCCAGCCCTTCCTCCTCCTCCTCCTGGTTTTCTCTAGGACGTGAGGAGCAGGCCAAGCTGCTGCTATCAGCCACGTGGCAGGCACTCGAGGGAGCTGCATGCCGAGGTGGTCGGGTGGCTGGTGCAGGGAAGGTGGGCTGCAGCCTCTGCTCTGCCTGCTTGCGGGTGCTGTGGCTCCTGAGCACATGCTGGCCGTGTCACCCCCCCCCCCGGGCTGGCCACAGAGTCACCACGGGGCTGCCCCCTGGAGCCCGGGGGGCTGGGATTGCAGCTGCCCCTGCTTGCCAGGTGCTCGCCATTGAGACTCTCTAGACGGGCTGCTGGGCGTGGGCAGCTGGGTGGGGCTGCTGGTGTGGCCGAAGCAGGGCTGGGGGCTCCCACAGAGGGTGCAGCTGCTGTCCCTGGCCTCGGCGCCCTTGTCCCTCGGTGCTGTCAGAGTGCTGTGGGCGTCCTGGCCGTACATGTCTGGGTGCTGGCTGCAGTCCTGGCATGGAGGGAGGCTGAGGCAGAAGGGTTGCACATTGAACCCCCGGGGACAGCTTAGCAAGACCCTGTCTCAAAAACTAAACAGGGCTGTGGGTGTAGCTCAGTGGTTAGAGCACCCCTGGGTTCAAGTCCCAGTCTCGCCCCCCCAAAACGGTGCCAAACCGGGCCTGTCACTCTGTGGACGGTCAGACCCCAGCAGCTCGCTGTGTCTCCGGGAGAGCCTCCTCCCGGCAGGTAGGTCCCGGGCATCCGGGCCAGCTGGAGTCGGCTGACAGCCCATTTGGAGCCCAAAGACAGAAGGACGATGCTGGGCAGTTCATGAGGCGCTGTGGGCCTCACCGCCCTGGCCCGTGCCTGTCTCCTGGGCCCAGGGAAACCTGGGGAATTCCACCGCCCAGCTTTCAGCTTCTCCTCTCCGTTTGAAACAAGTCCCCGGACAGGTTAGCTGCGAGGAACCGGAACCAAAGCCCTGGCCAAGCCAGAATGGTGCCGAAGGGTCCAGCGTCTGCTCCTTTCTGACAAGTCTGCCCCTGCTGCAGCCGCACGGTGAGGGGAGCTGGGGCTGGAGCAGGAACAGAGCGGGGGCGGCTCCAGGGCAGCTGGGGAGGCGAGTCGAGCGAGCGAGCGAGCGAGGTCCCAGGGTGCTGCTGCAGCGCTCAGCTCTCATGTGTGGCCCCGCCTGGCTCTCGTGACCCCTGCTCCCGTCAGCTCTGCCCTCTCCAACTGGGAAGACCGGTGGCCAGCGAAGGGGAGACTGTTCCGCTCCAGTCCCAGCTGCACGTGGTGCCTCTGCCTCGGTCCCCGTCTCAGTCCCTCAGCGAAGTCTTTGCCCTGCTCAGGAGCCCGGCTTCTGCTGCCACTAGCGGGGCCTCGTGCTCCCAGTGGGGTGAGCAGGACAGCGGGCACCTGTGTCTGGCACTTGTTCTTGACCTCCGAGTCCTGGAGACCTGAAAGCCAGGAGGCCGCATGGGACCTTTCCACCTGGGGTCCTGCAGAGGCGCCTGGGCCAAGGTGGCAGGCAGGTGGGACCCCAAGTTGTGTAGGCGTGGCCCTGCAGAGGCCTGATGGGTTCGTGCCTTCCCTGCCCCAGTGCTGCTCCTGTCACGGGTGCACGGTGCTTAGTGCACATCCCAGCTGCGTGCCCCAGCTCGAGTGTCCTGCGGCCGAAGCGGCAGCTCTGGAGGGATGTGCGCCTCACCCGCGTAAGCGCCCCCCTCTCGCTGGCCGCTGTCTGTGGGAGTCTTGCCTGCTCTGTTTCACTGGGGCTCGCAACGGCTATGAGGGAGGTGCAGACTGGGTTGGCCCTTGCTGGTCCTTCGAGGGGCTCCTCAGGGGCCGATGGAGCTGGAGGACATCTGGGTGCAGGACGGGGTTGGACAGCCTCGTGGGGGCGAGGCCAGTGCTCGGCCAGGGCTTCCTGCTGGGGCGGAGAGGAGTCCCCAGTGGGGTTTGCATCCAAAGGTGACACCGCAGGACCCGGGTGAGGTTGGCGGCCAGGCCTCAGACTCCGTGTGTGGGACAT